TCTCTGATAGGCATGCTGCAAGTAATTTATATGCATCATTTCATTTAATCCTTTCAGCAATCTGTGAGGTATGTGCCGTGATGATGTTCATTACACACATGGGGCTGGTAGAAGTTAAATTACCTAGACCACACTGTCAGAAAAAGCTAGGATTCCAACACAGCCTATCTGACTTCAGATGCCTCTCAGATATGTTCCTGGTCTTGCAGGGGTTTTTCTTGGTGGTGCTTCAAAGCCTCATGGAGCATGACCTCTCTGATGACCTCAAGACAAAACTGCAAAAGAACCCCAGCAGGGTATCAGGCTGGAGGGCTTGCGGGGGGTGGGGGTGGGGTGCATGTGTAGAGGGTGGTTGGGTGCATTCTGGACGAACCAGAGTGCCCAGAGGAACTCCCCCAAACTTCCAAGGTCCTCTCAGGGTTGGACAGCCAGGAGAAGGTGGCTTCCTCAAGAAAAGAGGTACTGCTGGAGCCTGTCTGGACTGACTCCTTTCAGATCTGTGAGTAGAAGATAGCCAGTGGCTGAGCTGGGAGTTCAAGAGTAGCCCAGGAACATGCAGGCCTACAAGTCTGTCTCCATCCTGTTTGCTGGTGAGAGCAGCTTGATGAGAGTACAGCTCCCCACTGGCGATCTGAGAGTCTGGTGGAAGTGACATAGCTCATAACTGGGGGGGCAAGGACCATGCCTGTTTCTCATAGGGGACCCAGCACCAGCGCAGTGCCAGATATGCAGTGCACCATATGTATTTGTGGATAAACAATCCCTATTTTTCTTTTTCTTATGCCTCCGTTTCCCCAGTGATGGTGTCCTGGACTGAAGATCGTGACTGGAGTGCATGTTACCGCCGACAAAGCTCAGAACACCAGGCAGGGCAAGACCAGCGACATCAGACTAAGATATAATGGCACTGATCCTGGATTTGCAGGGCCAGGATAAACAAGAGACTGTAGAGACTGTTTTGTCCCATTCATTCTTTTATAGGCAGAACACAGACCCAGAGAAAAGAGATAACTTGTCCCAAGCTACCCCGTGAAGGAGGAGGGATAAACAGTGTGCTTCTAGAATATTTATTTATTTATTTATTTTTTGAGACATAGTTTCACTCTTGTTGCCCAGGCTGGAGTGCAGTGGCGCAATCTGGACTCACTGCAACCTTCTCCTACCGGGTTCAAGCGATTCTCCAGCCTCAGCCTCCAGAGTAGCTGGGATTACAGGCACCCGCCACCGCGCCCAGCTATTTTTTTTTCAGTAGAGACAGGGTTATACCATGTTGACCAGGCTGGTCTCGAACTTCTGATCTCAGACAATCCTCCCGCCTTGGCCTCCCAAAGTGCTGGAATTACAGGCGTGAGCCACCGCACCCTGCCGTGTGCTTCTAGAATCTTAACTCTTCGGGGTTAACCTCTCCTTCCACGCCAAGGAAACGGGATCTTCCTGCAACCCTCGAGACAACCACCTAACAGTCACCCAACTTCGCGCTGGGGCCCGGATGTTCCGTCGATCGAATGTAAGATGCTCGACTTCTAAGTCTTAAGTACAACGTAGGATAAATCGATTGGTCATCCCTGCCGGTCGCTGCCGAGCGCTGATTGGCTCGGGCTTGGGAAGCGCAGAAAAGGCCGGCGCGGGGGCGTGCCTGGGGAAGGGACTCCCCCGGCGCTGAGCAGCACAAGGGTGCCAGGCGCTGCCGCTGCGTGGGCGGTGGTGCGTGCGAGGCTCTCTCGAAGAAACCCAAACGCGTCGTGGGGCTGCCGTGTGCCCCAGGGAGCCCTGGAGGCGGGACGGGGGCTAAGAACTCCCAATCTTCACTCTGTGTTGTCGAGTACGCATTTGAAATCGTTCCCCAACCTGGCGGTTCCTCCGAGGCCTTTCCCAGGCGCCCAGACTCTGTTGAGTCCATTTCTGAAACTCCTCGTTAGTCTTTACCACCCCTTCAGCCTCCGTTTTGAAGCAGCGGTTTTCAGCCACTGCGCGTCCATCGCAAGCGGCGAGGTGCTGCCGAAAGCAGGGCAGGGTTCGCCACCTCCCCGTGCCACCCCTCTTTAGGGAGACCTTAGGGTGGAGCAATGAGTCGCCCTTGACTGAGTAGTCCCTGCCCTTGCCAGGGCGATATTTCTGGAAATGCAGACTTGACTAAGCCTTGCCTTGGTGAGAATTCAGTGGGTCCCTAGCACCTGGTACAGCGGCTCCTAGCCTGAGTACTGCCCTCTTTCGGTGGGGAGGGGTTGAGTTTTTTTTGTAGCATCCATTGATCTGATCTCCAACATTCCTCCACGTCAATTCCCACTCCACCCAAATCCCTTACCCTCTATATAAGCTTTCCAGCCATAGTGTTGGCTTGGGTGGGGGTGCGTGCAGTGCTGACACCAAAATGGAGGTCCCTTGTTTCTGAGAGCGTCTCTTTTAGAGCAATGCAAACCTGAAACCCCTCTTGCCAAGAAGCAATTTCAGCTCCTCCTGGATTAAAGCCTTTGAGAAACAAAGCTGAGGTGGGTAACTCAATTTTTTTTTTAAAAAATAGAGGAGTTTCAGGTTGACTAAGTGGAAAGAAAAGGAAGGAGTCTTGGGTGGGGAAGGGATTCAGGGCACTGGTAAGGACGCTCTGAATGAAGAGACCACCTAAACAGGCTTTGCGTGAGCAACAAGGCTGTTCATTCACGCGGGTGCGAGTGCGCTGAGTCCGAAGAGAGTCAGCAGAGGGTGGTGGGATAGGAGCTGGTTTTATAGGTTGGGGGTAGGTAATGGAAAGTTAGAGTTGAGGGCATTTTTTTGCAAGCGAGCGAGGGGGATGGTGTCACAGGATACGGTGTCACAAGGTTGACCTATCAGTTGAGGCAGGAACAGTGGTAGACTGTTGTAAATTCAGTTGATCAGGCACTGCAGGAGCTAGCTATTCTCCTTTTGCGGTTTTTCTGTTATAGACTTTCTGGTTCCGGGAGGCCATCTGGAGGTGTACGTGTGGGTCACCGTGGCTTGACTATGGTGAGTGCATGGTGCAGTCAGTTCAAAGAAGCTTGCAGGCACTAGCTTCCTTATCCCTGAGCATGGGGGATGGGGGAGGGGAGCATGGTAGTCATGGGAGGCACTGATAGAGCAACCTCATTCAGGGAAAGAAAAGTGGAGGAAGAAAGCAGAATGAGGAAAGGCCATGGTGGAGTCTGGGGCTGTGGGGTGGACTTCTGGCAGGATCCTTCTCCCGTCATGGCTTTGGGGCTGATATGGTTAGGTGCCTTGTGTCCCCACCCAAGTCTCATCTTAAATTGTAATCCTCATAATCCCCACTTGTCAAGCTGGGACTACAGGTGCCCGCCACCACCACATCCAGCTAATTTTTGTATTTTTAGTAGAGACAGGGTTTCACCATGTTGGCCAGGATGGTCTGATCTCTTGACCTCATGATCCACCCACCTCGGTCCCCCAAAGTGCTAGGATTATAGGCATGAGCCACCGAGCCCGCCCAAAAATAACCTAATTTTAAAATGAGCAAAGGATCTAAATAGACACGTCTTTATTTTTTTAAATTTTATTTATTTATTTTTGAGATGGAGTCTTGCTCTGTTGCCCAGGCTGGAGCGCAGTGGCATGGTCTCTGTTCACTGCAACCTCCATCTCCTGGGTTTAAGCAATTCTCCTGCCTCAGCCTCCTGAGTAACTGGGATTACAGGTGGCTGCCACCATGCCCAGCCTGAATAGATCCTTCCTTCTTTCCTTCATTCCTTCCTTCCTTCCTTTCCTTCCTTTTCACTCTTATTGCCCAGGCTGGAGTGCAATGGTGCAATCTCAGCTCACCACAACCTCCACCTCCTGAGTTCAAGCGATTCTCCTGCCTCAGCCTCCCTAGTAGCGGGGATTACAAGCATGCACCACCATGCCTAGTGAATTTTCTATTTTTAGTAGAGGTGGGGTTTCTCCATGTTGGTCAGACTGGTCTTGAACTCCTGACCTCAGGTGATCCGCCTGCCTCAGCCTCCCAAAGTGTTGGGATTACAAGTGTGAGCCACCACACCCGGAGACATTTCTTTAAAGAAGATAAGCAAAGGGCTAATAAATGCATGAAAAAGTGTTCAACATCATTAATCATTGGAGGAATGTGAATCAAAACCACAATGAGATACTATGTCACACCCATTAGCATGGCTATTAAGAAAAACAAAGAAAAGAGAGAACATAAGTGTTAGTGAGGATGTGGAGACATCGGAAGCATCATATACTGCTGTTGGGAATGTGAAATCGTGTGGCCACTGTGGAAAACAGCCTGGCAGCTTCTCAGCATGGAACTACCTTATAACCCAGCAATTCCACTTCTGTATATACCCAAGAAAAGCAAAAACATGGCCAGGTGCAGTTGGCTCACACCTGTAATCCCAGCACCTTGGGAGGCCAAAGTGGGTGTATCACCTCAGGTCAGGAGTTCAAGACCACCCTGGCCAATATGGTGAAACCCCAGCTCCACTAAAAATATAAAAAATTAGCCGAGCATGATGGCAGGCACCTGTGATCCCAGGTACTCAGGAGGCTGAAGCAGGAGAATCACTTGTACCCCGGAGGTGGAAGTTGCAGTGAACTGAGATGGCACCATTGCACTCCAGCCTGGCAACAGAGTGAGACTCTGTCTCAAAAAAAAAAAAAAAAAAAAGTGTACATACAAAGACTTGTACATGAATGTTTATAGCAGCACTTTTCATAAGAGCCAAAAAGTGGATGTAGTTCAAATGTCCATCAACTGATGAGTGGATAAACAGAACATGGAGGGCTGGGCGTGGTGGTTTACAGTAATCCCAGCACTTTAGGAGTCCGAGGTGGGTGGATCACTTGAGGTCAGGAGTTCAAGACCAGCCTGGCCAACATGGCAAAACCAGGTCTTTACTAAAATTACAAAAATTAGCTGGGCTTGGTGGTGGGCATCTGTAATCCCAGCTACTCAGGAGGCTGAGGCAGGAGGATTGCTTGAACTCGGGAGGTAGAGATTGCAGCCAGGATCACACCACTGCACACTAGAATGAGATTCTGTCTTAAAAAAAAAGAGAGAGAGAAAACAGAATATGGACTCTCCAACAGAACATTATTTGAATCCAAATGCCAGCAGGCCACCATAGAACCGAGAAGAGCCTGTGTTCCAGTTTGAAGGTCATCCTGCAGGGAATGTTCTCTTACTTGGGTGAGCATCAACCTTTTGTTCTATTCAGATCCTCAACTGATTGGAAGAGGCCCATTCACATTAGGGAGGGCAGTCTGCGTTACTCGGCTTGCCACAGAAAGATAAACTGCATGTCCTCACTTCTCTGTGGGAGCTAAAAATTAATACAGTGGAATTTATGGAGATAGTAGAAAGATGATTACTGAAGGCTGGGAAGGGTAGTGGCAAATAGGGGTGGTGAAGGGGAGATGGTTAATGTCACATGTGTCACTCACGTAAAGAGACCACCAGACAGGCTTTGCGTGGGCAACTGTTTATTTTGTGCTTAGGTGCAAGCAGGCCAAGTCCGAGAAAGGGGTTAGGCAAAAAGGGTAGGAGAGGGGATTGGTTATATAGTTGGGGCAAATGGTCAGCTAAAGGTGGTAGTCTGTCTTGGGGAGGGGGAGGACATCACGGGATGCATGACTATAAGGGCAGGGGTTGGTAATCTATCTTGGGGAGGGGAAGGGTGTCACGAGATGCATGATCACAAGGTAGGAGTCATTTATTATGAACAGGCATGATCGTAAGGGTGGGGGGTATCAGTTACAGTCAGAGGGGAGGGTGCAGTGATTACATAGTTACAGGGGTGGGGGTCTTGAGAAACCCAGTGTCCGGGGGGAATTTTTGCAAGGCTGAACAGGAATAATGGATGCAGGTTGCAGCAATTAGTTGAGGTAGGAACAAGTTGCTTTACTTCTTTCTATGGCCACCTGGTTGCTTGTGGTTGCTTCAGACTTTCTGGTTCCTGGAGACCCATCCAGAGGTGTACATGCGGGTCACCAAGGCTAAAATGGCCAGGCCTGGACTTTGAAGCCTAACAGTTAATGGGAAAAAAAAAAAAGGTTAACTCTTAATCTCATCGAAAACACCCTCCCAGAAATACTCAGTAATGTTAGACCAAGTATTTGTTTACTTGTGGCCCAGTCAAATTAACACATAAAACCGATCAAGTATTGATACATGCTGTAATGTGTATGAAACTTGAAAATGTTATGTGTAGTGAAATTAGACCACATGTATCACAAAGATTGCATTTTACATGAAATGTGCAGAAGAAATAAATATAGAGACAAAGCAGACAAGTGGCTACCAAGGGTGAGGGGGAGAGAGGAGAATTGGGAAGTCATGACTCAGAGGGGTGGGGTTTCTTCTTGGGGCGAAATGTTGCTAAATGGACAGAAATGTTCTAAATTTCGCTTGGTGGACCACATCAGTTCAAAAGCTTTTGCACAGCAGAGGAAACAACAAAATGAAGAGACCCACAGAATGAGAGAAAATATTTGCAAACAACCCATCTGACAAAGGATTAATAACCAGACTATATAAGGAGCTCAAACAACTCTATAGGAAAAAAATGAATAATCTGATTTAAAAATGGGCAAAAGATCTGAATAGGCATTTCTCAAAAGAAGATAAACATTCTACACTGAAAAAAAAAAGAAGAAGAAAAAGACATACAAATGGCAAACAGAGCTGGATGCCATGGCTCATGACCAGAATCCCAGCACTTTGGGAGGCTGAGGTGGGTGGATCACTTGAGGTCTGAATTTTGAGACCAGCCTGGCCAACATAGTGAAACCCTGTCTCTGCTAAAAATAAACAAACAGATAAATAAATAAAAATTAGCCAGGTTTGGTGGTGGGCTCCTGTTACCCCACCTACTCTGGAGTCTGAGTCAAGAGAATTGCTTGAACCCAGGCAGCAGAGGTTGCAGTGAGCCAAGATTGTGCCACTGCACTGCCTAGGCGACAGAGCAAGACCCTGTCTTAAAAAAAAAGTCAAACAGACATATAAAAAGTGCTCAACATCATTAATCATCAGAGAAATGCAAATCAAAACTATAACGAGATGTCATCTCACCCCAGTTAAAATGTCTTCTGTTCAAAGACAGGCAATAACACATGCTAATGAGGATGTGGAGAAAAGGGAACCCTCATACACCATTGGTGGGAATGTAAGTTAATACAATCACTATGGAGAACAGTTTGGAAGTTCCTCAAAAGACTAAAAATAGCAGGCCGGGCGCGGTGGCTCAAGCCTGTAATCCCAGCACTTTGGGAGGCCGAGGCGGGTGGATCACGAGGTCAAGAGATCGAGACCATCCTGGTCAACATGGTGAAACCCCGTCTCTACTAAAAATACAAAAAATAAGCTGGGCATGGTGGTGTGTGCCTGTAATCCCAGCTACTCAGGAGGCTGAGGCAGGAGAATTGCCTGAACCCAGGAGGCGGAGGTTGCGGTGAGCCAAGATCGCGCCATTGCACTCCAGCCTGGGTAACAAGAGCGAAACTCCGTCTCACAAAAAAAAAAAAAAAAAAAAGACTTAGTATTTGCTAGCACAAAAGAGTAACTGTAGTAAAAAATAAATGTTCATTTAAAAGTAACTAAAAGAATATAATTGGATTGTTTGAAACACAAAGGATAAATGTTTGGGGTGATAGATACCCTATTAACACTGATGTAATTATTGTGCATAAATATCTCATATACCCCCTCAATAAACATATTTCCTATGGACCCAGAGAAATGAAAATAATTGTAGAGACAGGGCCTCACTATGTTGCCCAGGCTGGTCTCAAACTCCTGGGCTCAAGCGATTCTCCCACCTCAGCCTCCCAAAGTGCTGGGATTACAGACATGAGCCACTGAATTATACACTTTGAATGGATGAATTAAATGGTATGTGAATTCGATCTTTATACATCTGTTCAAAGAGTAGCAGTCACTTATTTTAGCCAAGAGAGATGATCTGGTATTTTATGAGTGGCAGCGTAGTGACCTTGTTTTTGTCAATGCTTAGACAAAATAATGGCATGGCCTTGCCTTGCCTCATTTTATCACGGTCTGAGTAACCTTATCTGGAGGTTGGTATTCTGTAAGTCTGTTTATGTTCCCCATGAGAGTCAGATGAGTTTGTGACAACAGCTCCAGATGTCAGGAGCTGCTTTTTTTCCTTTCTTAGCTGACTATTGGGAAGCTCTGCTGGGGGCCCACAGGAATGTGAATAAACACACTTGGAAAGTTTGCAGAAGCTCTGGTCCCAGCCTCCTGCTGGTGTGAGCCTGGGTTCCTGTGCTTGGGACCCTGGAAGGTGGAGGGGGACACCGGGCTGGAGGAGATCATGTGCCATCTGGGATTTTTTGTGCTTTCTTATGTCTGTTGTTATTTCAAAATATTTAAAGGCAAAAGGTTCATCAACTGCTCTGTCAAGGAGACCCTGTCATACCCCAGTGACTGCCTCCAGCTCTCACCCCTCTCTGTTGACCCCCTAGGAATCTCTCAACAGTCCAGGGAGGACTTGTAGGGTGGGGGTGGAGGGAAGGGACAGCAGCTGCAGCCTTTTCTGGCCCAGGCAAGAAGAAAACTTCCTGTCCTTCCTCTCCATTGCAGATTTGGGATTAAGCCTTATTTTGCAATGGGTGTAATCTCAACCGACACTGAGGGGTGCCTGAAGTCCCTGCAAAACCCTTTCTGGTATCAGCTACCTATCACAGGATGCAGAGGACAAGGTCAGGTAGAGGCTGTGTTCCCAGTGAGAGGAAGGCGGGGGAGGGAATGGAAAGAGCACTGGAAATGGGGTGGGAAGACCAAGGTTCGAATCCCAGCCCTGTCCCCTCCTTGCACGGCTACTTAGGTGAGAGTCCCTGCCCTTTCTGAGTTCCTTCCTTCCCTCCCTCCCTTATCCTCCCCTCCTGTTGCCTCCTCTTCCCTTCTTCCCTTCCTTCCTTGCTTCCCTCTCTTTGTTGGCCAGGCTGGAGTGCAGTAGCATGATCTCAGCTCACCGCAGCCTCGACCTTCTGGATTCAAACCATCCTCTCACCTCAGCCTCCTGAGTAGCTGTGATTACAGGCTTGCACCACCATGCCTGGCTGATTTTTATATTTTTGGTAGTGATTGGGTTTTACCGTGTTGACCAGGCTGGTTTCCAACTCTTGATCTCAAGTGATCCTCCTAACTTGGCCTCCCAAAGTGCTGGGATTATAGGCATGAGCCACCACACCCAGCCTCAAAATGGTTAACAATCATTGACTATCTCTTCCTGTTTGGGGATGAGGCATTAAAAGCTGCTCAGAAGTTCCAGCAGAAGGGGCCGCTCCTAAGAGACACAGGACCAGAAAATACAGACTCAAAAGTAGGCCTTGGTGCCCCGGGACTGCCCCTTATCCTCCAGTGGGCCTTTGCGTCTGTTCTAGGCTCAGAGAGAGCAGAAGGGAAAACGGGGACCACTCTAGGTGGTGTATGGAGGGTTGTAAATGCTCTGTGCGCTGCCCAGTGTGATGTTTCTCAGCCTCACCACAGGTCATCCAGGGGTGGAATTCTTCTGGTTTATGTTGATGCTGAATTATTCTATTTGGCGGGAGCCTTGCCACCCTGGGCTTCAGGGAAACCCTCTTCCAGGGCCCCCTGGATTTTTCCCATTTTACCAGGCTTGCTGGATGCATTTGGATTCACATTCTTCCCCAACAACTGCTGTCACAGCTGTGGATCAGCTACTGCAATGAGAAGCTGAAGCAGCACTCTGTGACTGACGAACTGAGGGCCCAGCAGGTGTGGCCGGCAGACAAATCCGGACATCTGTACTTTCTCCAGGCTCCTGCCCCTCCCAGGTATGCCCAGCAGCCTCCATTCCTCATTGGATGCTGTTCATGTCTTTGCCATGGCTGTCAGGCCAGCCAAGGGGTAACATTTGGTCCTTAGGCCACAGAAGCCCTCTTCTGTCCCTCCAGGGAGATTACTTTGTTAAGAGGCTGGAGCTGCTGTTTGTTAACTACTATAATAACCACAGCAGTCTGGCTCTGAACAAGGGAACCCCATTAGCATCAGCTCCTTGATGGATGAGGTGGAGAGCAGAGGACAGGGAGGAGGATGTCGCTGAGAAGTTTGAAGAAGTTAGTCATTAGGAGCATTAGCGACTGTCCTTCTGCCCCTCTGTCTCCCCTAATGTGTTCACTAATACCCACCTTATGTGTCTCTCAGGGTCACTGTGATGTCCAGGGTAACACTTGTTTTTATCTATTGCCATGGGGGCCACAATGTGAGGTGCATGAGAGAGGGGGCGTAGCAGCACCATCTGTCTCAGACATCATCCAGGGTGTACCAGCAGGCACCCTAGATAAAGAAGGGGGCCAGCTACAAGAGTCAAAAGCAACATGATTCAGTATGCAGCATAATTATTTTAAGAATCCTGATTTTGGGCTGGGTGCAGTGGCTCACACCTGTAATCCCAGCATTTTGGGAAGCTGAGGCGGGTGGATCACCTGAGGTCAGGAGTTTGAGACCAGCCTGGCCAACATGGTGAGACCCCATCTCTACTAAAAATACAAAAATTAGCTGGGTGTGGTGGCAGGTGCCTGTAATCCCAGCTACACGGGAGGCTGAAGCAGGAGAATTGCTTGAACCTGGGGAGCGGAGGCTGCAATCAGCTGAGATCATGCCACTGCACTCCAGCCTGTCAGAGAGAGAGAGAGGAGAAGGAAAGAAGGATGAAAGAAAAGGAGAGGCAGGGAGGGAAGGAAGTTAGGAGAGAAACAGAAAGAAGAATCCTGATTCTGGGACAGCTCAGCAGCCCTGAGGCCACCACCTGCTCTTCGCCATGGTATGAACTCAGCCCTGACACAGTGCCCGGTCCCCTGGGGCCCTGCTGGTGGGGCCTAGCTAGAATGTTCTCCACATTTCAAATTGGAGCTGCCTAGCAGTTTGAGGTGTCAGACCTGAGTCCTTGAATACATTTGCCAAGACCAGAGACCAGGACATGGCATTTGCAGCCACCAAATGAGTGCTGGCTGCTGCTTCTCCTCCCCTGGAACATCCTCTCAAAACCCTTTTGCCTTGACTATTACCTCTTCTCTCTCCTGGCCTGCATTCTTCCTTGGCAGACTCTAAGGAGTCACCCGTGGGGGCCTGGAGTGAGCCAGGGCATGGTTCTGGGTACCAGCACTGCCATCTGGCTGCTCCTTCTGGTGTCCTGCTGGCCCTTCTTTGCTGGACTAGTGCCTGGCCCAGTATCACTGCCATCATAATCATGCTTAACTCGAGGGATATCATTTACTCCTTCAAGGGCAAGATTCTAGACCCCTCACTGCAGGGCCCTTCACTGGGGACACCTGGTCTTCCTTGCCTGCTTGGACATTGAGGGTGGAGGGAGGAAGGGTTATGGGCACTCATGGAAGCTGTGGGGAGCATTCAGAAAGAAGAGAGAGAGGCATCTTCACTGCTGGCCACGTGTGGGACCAATTGCAGGGATTGTCTCTCTGCCTGTGGTCCCTCCCACTCCCCATAGGTAGCAGAGTCTGCTGCGCTTGGATGCCAGTGGGAAGAATGCGTTCTTGGGGAGAGAGTGGACCCTTCCCTGGGCTCACAGGAGAAGACGGGGCTGGAGCGGGCAGTGGAGCTGTCCAGAGTGAGCAAGTGTCTGCGGAATCCGGGATGCAGCGTGTGAATGGAGCTCCACACTCTCCCAGCTTCCTGGCCCGGGACAAGCATTGGCACTCTCTGGGCCACCTCAGGAAATCTCGAACCTCCTAGGCAATTCCAGTTTGAGTCAGCCCTGCGAGCATCCAGGTGGGTGATTAGCCGATGTGGGCGCAGCCTGGAGCAGGCAGCTGGGGAGTGGTGGCTGCACGCGGAGGACGGCTGTGTACCTGTGTTGGCTGAGTCAGGGCCGGGAGCACTTCAGCACCGCTGTCTGGACAGCGCCCCCGGGCAGGCGGGTGGCACCCTGGCTAAGGGGAGAAGTGCGCTCACCCAAAAGGCCAGCATTTCTCACTGAGAGGGCCCTGAGCCTGAGGTTCGGGCGGGTGGGGAACGCACAAAGTGGGCGTCGGCCTTTAGAGACAGGCAATTTACTGCCTTAGGCGGGCAAGCGCACGAGGCCCGGGAACCCTGAACAGGTTGGGATGCCCCTTGGGGTCGGGATGAGGCGCCGGGCTTGTGATAAAGCGTAGTGGAGTCTAGACATAACGTCCAGAACCTGCCAGGGCTGGTGGCACCCTGCCTGGGGCACTCGTCTTGGACCAGTCCACACCCAGGGCCAGAATTCAAAATCTCCTGGGCTGGGTCTCCCTGGCTCAGGGCCTCTCATCTTGGGCGCTACTCTTGACGCAAAGGCCACGTGGCAGGCCACTGGCCTGCGCCCTGCTCAGCCTCCCCTCCCTTGCCCACCCCAGAACGTGGAGAGCCCCACCGCTTCCCACCGAAAACCAGCCTGCTCTTGGCGACCTGCTCCCCTGCGCAGCTCCATTACTGTCGGGAGATGAGCCTCTCCTTCTTTCCGCAGTGAGGATGGCCTGGGCTCCTGCGCTAAGCGAGGCCCATCCTGGCAAGGCCGGGTGACCTGGCGGTGGTGCCGATTGGGGCTAGCCAGGGCGGCGCAGGGACCCACGGCGCCGCGTGATGCAAACGGAAGGGCTAGAGCAACCCGGCTCCGTACAGGTGGTTCCTGGTTGCTGCTTAAGCCGCCCTTTCTTCCCTTCCTTCCCTTCCAGGGGCAACAGGCCCGTGTCTCCTTTGGCAGCCTCTGTCTCCAGAGAGGCACTGGGCAGCTAAGGCGGTCAGAGCCCTCAGGTGAATCCTCCCTCTCCAGGAGTCAGCCCTGCGAGCTGCCGGAGGGTAGGTAGGGGGACGCACAACCTTCTCAGGACTGAGAGGTGTCATCTACCTCATACCCTCACATAGGAAGAGTGAGGGGGCTGGGCGTGGCTATCCTCTTAGGTCCTCACTGGGCAGCTTGAGATTCTAGGTTGGAAGGAGTCACCCCACTACCCAGCCAGCTCTACTTGCCTCCTGCCCAAGGAGACCCGTGCAATGGAGGCTGCAAAACACTAGGGCACAGTGACAAGGAGGGATTCCAAGACTCCTTGGAAGAGCCAGATCCCTGAACTTCTCAACAAAACCAGGGGCCACCTCTGGCCTTCCCCCTTCCAAAAAGGAAGGCAGGAAAATGGTTAGAGGCAGATTGTCAGGAGAGGCCTGTGGAGTAGGCAGGGGACCAGAGCCAGGTCATTCTATAACTAGGGCAGCAGCCATGCCTGTTAACCTGGTGAAACCACTCCAGTCCCAGTACCCTGTGACATGTCCCAGGAGGTGGTGACCATATGTGGTAAGTGAGTCGGGAAGCAGAGTGGAGGATGAAGGGGACCACCACAGGCACCAAAACAGCACTCCTAACATAGGGAATGGGGCTCAGGGAAGCAAGGGGCTGTGGTCCTCAGCGATGTTTCTGGGCTCTCAGCTAGAGCTGCAGGAAGTTGTGGACAAATTCAACTAAGGACTCTGAAACTCAGGTGAAATAAATAGAGAGAGAAAGGAAGAGAGGGAGACAGAGAGAGGCAGAGACAGGCAGAATTTCAAAAGATGCAGGCAAATCAGCCCTCTTTCTGCCCCCTGAGCCTATGAGCCTGAGTCTGAGATGGGAGGTGAGACCCTGCTGGGCCTCCCGTCAATCTTAGTTTCTGTAGGTATTTCTCCAAACTATGTGTTGTTTGAGGGTTGGTTTAAAACATAGTTTCTGGCTGGGCATGGTGGCTCATGCCTGTAATCCCAGCACTTTGGGAGGCTGAGGCTGGCAAATCACTTGAGCCTAAGAGTTGGAGACCAGCTTGGGCAACATGGTGAGATCCCATCTCTACAAAAAATATAAAAAATTAGCTGGGCATGGTGGTGTACTCCTGTAGTCCCAGCTACTGGGGAGGCTGGGGTAGAAAGATCGCTTGAGCCCAGAGGGTGGAGGCTGCAGTGAGCCTAGTCTGGGTGACAGAGTGAGACTCTGTTTCAAAGAAACAACAAAACAGAAAACCACAGTGTAGTTTCTGACTTTCGCACTGACTGTAGAACTTAACTTTTATGAAAAAACATAATATATTCCAAATCTTTATAGCAACCCTGATGGCATTGCGGAGGCAGGTCATTTTTCCTGGTCCTCTGTCCATTTCCATTATGGGATGTCTCCACTGAGCTTTGCCTATGTCATCTCTGAATTTGAGGCCTAAAGTGTGACCAGATTTAATCAAATCCTGCTTGGAAAATAGAGGCCCATTCAATGGTGATCTGTTCTAGCTAAAGACTTTTTATGGGGGCATTTAAATTAGAATTTCTTTCTTTTTTTTGTTTGTTTGTTTTTGAAACAGGGTTTCATTCTGACACCCAGGCTGGAGTGCAGTGGCACAATCATGGCTTACTGAAAGTGATCCTCCTCTGCCTCCCAGGCTCAAGCAATCCTCCTACATCAGCCTCCTAAGTAGCTGGGATTACAGGTTCATGCCACCACACTGGCTAATTTTTATATATTTTTTGTAAAGATGGAGTTTTGCCGTGTTGCCCAGGCTGATCTCCAACTCTTGGGCTCAAGTGATCCTCCCGCTTTGGCCTCCCAAAGTTCTAGGATTATAGGCATGAGCCACTATACCTGGACTAGAATCTTTTCGACTGTTTAAATGAATTACAAGATAATGGCATTTTCAGTACATAGGACTAGCATTCCATTATTTCTCTTAGACATTCAGCCGTAGTACCTGATGTCCAGCTCCTCATTTCTGAGGGCTGAGTCTGGGGTTTTTAGGCACAGGATAAGGTGGGGCAGGGCAATGTGTAGTTTAGGAAAAGGCAACATTTGAGTGGGAAAACAGGAATAGAAGTTCTCACTTTGGGTCTCAGGCTTTTTGGCTGGAGTCTGGGGGCAGGGCTTCACCACGGACTTGCCGCTGTCTGCGTAGAATTTCTCTGCCTCCTGTAGCTGTCATTTCCCCTCTCTAAAGAGGTACATCTCCAATCTTAGCTGCTTCCTGTTGACAGTGGGTGTTGTTTTGGGGAGAATGGCAGTCAGATTCCTCCCAGAGGTCTACCTAAGGGTCCCCAGGAAAAGGGAGCTGTCATCCAGGGATCTGTTTGCCTGTTTGGAGTTTGATGGTCTCTGAGTGAGAAGAAACAAGTTTTACAAGGTTAAGTATGCATGAATCAAATATGTGTATTATACAAAAAGGGGTTAAAAGGAAAGAATCTAGTGGCAAAGATTACAGAAATAAGAAGTAAAATATACAAATTATTCTGAAAACATTATACCCTGTGGTATAGAACAGAATGAAGGTAAGAACAGCAAGCATAGGCAAGACTATAAAGAAGATATTAATGGAAGATTAATTATTAACACTTACCTTTTATGATTTTTAGCTTGAGGTCCCTGATCTCTTCACATTGGTACTTTAGGTGCTCTTCTGGGTTGACAGAGGTAACTGCATTTGCTCCCTATGTTTTTACTTGGATATAATGAATCCAAGAATCTATTCCAGTGACCTTCACTGCCATCGGAGTAGAAAGAAGTACAGTGTAAGGTCCCTCCCAATCTGGGCTTATAGAGGGAGAAAGGGAAGGAAGAACCTTTATCAGTACTAGGTCCCCAGGGTTGAATAGAGGTGTCCTGGGTCATGGGATTGGGCCTTTCTGACAGTTCTTTCAGTTCCTGTTGGAAATGGGCCAAAGAAGTGATATGTTTAACCAAATCAGAGGTTTCTTGGTCTAGCAAGGAACCATTGGTGAGAAAAGACAGTCCGTATATCATTTCAAAGGGATTCAAACCTAGCCTTGAAGGGGTGTTTTTTGTTGTTGCTGTTGGTTTTTGTTTTTGTTTTGAGACAGAGTTTTGCTCTCGTTGCCAGGCTAGACTGCAATGGTGGGATCTCAGCTCACTGCAACCTCCGCCTCCTGGGTTCAAGCGATTCTCTTGCCTCAGCCTCCTGAGTAGCTGGGATTACAGGCATGCACCACCATGCCCAGCTAATTTTGTATTTTTAGTAGAGACAGAGTTTCTCCACGTTGGTCATGCTGGTCTCAAACTTGACCTCAGGTGATCCACCTGCCTCGGCCTCCCAAAGTGCTGGGATTACAGGCGTGAGCCACCCCACCCGGCTGGAAGGGGTGTTCTTAATACAAAGTAGGGATATGGGCAGAAGGGTAGTCCAGGGCAGGTGAGTCTCCTGAGCTGTCTTTTTTTTTTTTTTTTTTTTTTTTTGAGACGGAGTTTCTCTCTTGTTACCCAGGCTGGAGTGCAATGGCGCGATCTCGGCTCACCACAACCTCCGCCTCCTGGGTTCAGGCAATTCTCCTGCCTCAACTTCCTGAGTAGCTGGGACTGCAGGCACGCGCCACCATGCCCAGCTAATGTTTTGTATTTTTAGTAGAGACGGGGTTTCACCATGTTGACCAGGATGGTCTCGATCTCTTGACCTCGTGATCCACCCGCCTCGGCCTCCCAAAGTGCTGGGATTACAGGCGTGAGCCACCGCACCCGGCTCCTGAGCTGTCTTTTGATAATATCATTTTTCTTTTCTACCTTTCCTAAGGATAGTGGTCTCCAAGCACAATGAAGAGCCATCTTCACTATACTGTATCCCTAGTGCCTTTGAGGCCCTCTGGGTGAAAGCTGCATTGAACAAGGGTCATTATCACTTTGGAGGTACTTAAGGAGTCCAAAGAGAGGAATTATCTCATTAATTAGTAAACCTTACATCCTCTGTTATCCAGAAAATTAAGAAGAGCCTTACTGCCCTCCTGAGAGATTTTTTTAGTTG